TCCCTCCCTCCTCCCCCCCCCCCCCCCCCCCCCGCCCTGCTCTGTCTCCCTCCCTCCTTCTTCCTTTTTTTTTGGAGACAGGGTTTCTCTGTGTAGCTTTGGAGCCTGTCCTGGAACTCTCTCTGTAGATGAGGCTGGCCTCGAACTCACAGAGATCCACCTGCCTCTGCCTCCTGAGTGTTGGGATTAAAGGTGTGTGCCACCACCGCACGGCTCTGTCTTTGTTCTTATGGGAGGTTGATATATTAAAGACATGTTCCTTAGTGCAATGGGAGGGATGAGGTGTTTAGAAAGTGCCTGGGCCACGAGGGCTCTGCCTTTATCAATAGTGGATTTATAATTTGAAGGCTTTATTGGAAGGTTCTGGTCACTTTGAAGTACATTACTGATGATGTGTTCTTGGTGATTTTATCTTGGCCCAGGCCTTCACTCTCTTTTTTCCAGTGGTCACAACGTAAGCAGCTTCCCCCTACCATATCTTTCCACCATGATGTTTTAGTTTTACTTCAGGCCCACAGCAATGGGCCCAATGACCATGGATTGAAACCTCCAAAAATAAATCTTTTCTCCTTTAAAGTAATTCTTTCAGGTGTTTTCAGTATTATAATGAAAAATTAACAACTGATACTCCTCCTAGAAACACAGTTAAAAAACAAAGCAAACAAACAAACAAAACCCCAAGAGAAACAGGAAGTATGACTAGATCTGTTAAATAGAATGAATTTATAATAACGATAAATTTCCTCAAAGAAAAATTTAAGATAAGTTGGATTTCTGGGTGATTTTGCCAAACGTTGATAAGATTAATAACCTTTTCTAAAATTCACTTAAGAAGTAAAAGAGGAAGGAAAACTTTCCCATTCATTCAATGAGGTCAATTTCCTCCTTATTAAAAAAAATCAGACATTGCAAAACAAAAGAAAACGAAGTAAAACTACAGATCAACAATGCACATGAATACAGATAGAAAAACAGCCAACAGAATACTAGGAAATTGAATTCAGCAACATGTATAAGGACCAGACACCACACACAGTAGTACTTCATCTGGTGATATAAGGCCATTTCCATTTGAAAGTCTCTAGGTAGTACGTCATATTAATAGAACATCCTCATGACCATTTCAGCAGTTGAGAACAAAGCATTTGACAAGATTCAAGATACTTTTGTGATTAAAAAACACTTCTGTGAACTAGGGATGGGATGGAACTTCAAGTCAGTGCATTTTAAAAATGCACATAATGGTGGCAGACTGGATCATTTTCCCCTAAGGTCAGGGATAAGGTAATGATATCTAGTCTTCCCACTTCAACATTGGACTGGAAGCTGTAGCCTGGGTGATGAGGTCAGAAAAACATATATAAAAAAGGCATATAGACTATAAAGGTAGAAGTCAAATTCTCTTAATTTGAAGATGATGTTTTTATAAATCCCACAAAAGATAACACAATCAATAGAAATACTTGTTTCCTGAGTGTTTCAGCATGCATGTCATGGGGCTGGAAATCTAATGGTCTGTTCTTGTACAAAACACCCCATGGGATCGTACCATTGTACCATAGGGATATGGTGCCTCTAAACAAAATTTGCACCTGGCAGTAAAACCAACTGTAAATCAAAACTAGTTATCAGGGAAATGCAAATCAAAACAACTCTGAGATACCACCTTACGCCTGTCAGAATGGCTAAGATCAAAAACACTGAAGACACCTTATGCTGGAGAGGATGTGGAGCTAGGGGAACTCTCCTCCACTGCTGGTGGGAATGCAAGCTTGTACAACCACTTTGGAAATCAATATGGCACTTTCTTAGAAAATTGGGAATCAATCTCCCCCAAGATCCAGCTATACCACTCTTGAGCATATACCCAAGGAATGCTCAATCATACCACAAGAGCACTTGCTCAGCTATGTTCATATCAGCATTGTTTGTAATAGCCAAAACCTGGAAACAACCTAGATGCCCTTCAACTGAAGAATGGATAAATAAAATGTGGTACATATACACAATGGAATACTACTCAGCAGAGAAAAACAATGACATCATGAGGTTTGCAGACAAATGTATGGATCTAGAAAAAATCATCCTGAGTAAGGTAACCCAGACTCAGAAAGACAAACATGGTATGTACTCACTCATAGGAGGATACTAGATGTGGAACAAGGATGACTGGACTGCTATTCACATCACCAGGGAGGCTACCTGGAAAACAGGACCCCAAGAAAGACATGGGGATCACCCAATGACGGAGAAATGGATGAACAGCCTGGACTTGAGTTGGGGTAATGAAGGGTGAGGGTCGAGGGAAAGAGAGCTTGGGGGAACGGGAGATCCCAGCTGGATCAAGAACAGAGAGGGAGAACAAGGAATAGGAGACCATGGTAAATGAAGACCACATGAGAATAGGAAGAAGCAAAGTGCTAGAGAGGCCCACAGAAATCCACAAAGATACCCCCACAATAGACTGCTAGCAATGGTCGAGAGACAGCCCGAACTGACCTACTCTGGTGATGGGATGGCCAAACACCCTAATTGTCGTGCTAGAAACCCCATCCAACTACTGAGGGATCTGGATGCAGAGATCCACGGCTAGGCCCCGGGTGGAGCTCCGGGAGTCTAATTAGTGAGAAAGAGGAGGGTTTATATGAGTGAGAATTGTTGAGACCAAGGTTGGATAAAGCACAGGGACAAATAGCCAAACGAATGGAAACACATGAACTATGAACCAATGGCTGAGGGGCCCCCAACTGGATCAGGCCCTCTGAATGGGTGAGACATTTGATTGGCTTGATCTGTTTGGGAGGCACCCAGGCAGTGGGACTGGGTCCTATGCTCATTGCATGAGTTGGCTGTTTGAAACCTGGGGCCTATGCAGGATCGCTTGGCTGAGTCTACCAGGTTGATCTCAGTCCTGGGGGAGGCTTTGCCCTGGAGGAGGTGGGAATGGTGGGTAGGCTGGGGGGAAGGGGAGAGGGGCAGGAGGGGGGAGAACAAGGGAATCCGTGGCTGATATGTAGAACCGAATTGTATTGTAAAATAAAATTAAAAAAAAAAAACTAGTTGGATAGGTAGATCCATAGTAAAAATATTAGATTGAACTTGTCATGAGCTTTGCAAATGAACTGGACTCTGGCTGTGCACTACTGTAACTGTGTCTTTTCCTAAGCTCTTATCCTGGAGGAGTTTATAATGCTGCCTCCTGCCCTATGCCAGCTTTCTGTCATAGGTACACCAAAACAGGAAATTTCTGACTTGGTTGTCTGGCTTGTTATGAAATATTCTGTCTAGAAATTTGATATCTTCTTGCCATAACTTCACATGGTGAAGGGCAGAAAGAAGCTTTCTGAATTGTCTTTTAGGAGGACCTCTGTACGATTCACTGAGTCTCCACCCTTATAACTTAATTATCTGCTAAGGTGCTGCTTCCCAATCCCATCACTTGGGGAAATTAAATTTCAACATATGATTTTGAGGGTACAAAGCCATTCAAGGTATAACAATGCCATACTAGTTTCTCAGTCAGAAGACTGGAACCTGCTTTTCTGCCTTGGCAAAGGCCATGGTCAGGATCTTTGGCTTAGCATAGTTTTTGCCCTTTGCCTCATCTCAGTCTTCTGATTGTCTTGTCCTGCAGCTGCCCTGAGTTACCATCCTCCTTACATCTGGATGACGTCTTTACCTTGCTGTTGAATGGCCAGGATTTCTCACTTACAGTTGTTGACACTGGCCTAGAGTCTCACTGTTTACTTCTCACTCTTCCTATGGGCTCTTCCTCTGCAGCACACTGTATCAGTACATCCGTGAGATGAGCAGGTCTTAGGATGATTTATCCTAATACTTGAGATCTTAGCCACTTGAAGCCCTTTGAATGACAAGGTAGCAGAGAAACAAGAGCCAGTATCTATTGTGATGCTGAGAGGGGATGGTAGTCAGGAAAATAGGGAAAGGGCAAAGGGCTTCTGTTGTACAGCTCTTTGCTTCCCTGGTACCTTCTGGGACATGTCAATATCAGTGTGGAATCAACCATTATCTGGTATTTGTGGATAACATTCTCTGCTGTAAATGGCAGGGTTGGCCTATCATATAACTATATGACATATGATATAGGTTGGTCTATCTATATCACACTTCGATATAGACAATATATAATTCCTATGTCTGGACAAAACAGGGAGCCTCCTTTGATATGCAACCCCTCCTCCACTGATGACAAGGTTCTGCTTTACCTGCGAAAGAAGACTAGTGTAAGCCAAATGGCGGGGAAAAAAAAAATGGCACTCCTGAAGACATGATAAAGAAAGTATTGGAATGACTGATCAATGATAAGTCGTATATTTATAAACCCTAAAGATGGGATCAAACATCCCACCTCCTTGGGTAGATGCTTATAGCCCCTGCTTGAACCGACCCATTTCTGGCTTTTCCCCTAGAAAACATATCTTTCCAGCTCCATTGATTCATTTGCCTTATGTGGGTAGCTGCCAAGATTTCAAGATGTCAAGCCTGTCTTGAAACTTCCCTCAGGTATAGTTTCTCTTTCCTCTGAATTTAATGAACTGTCCTGAGTTTCCTACTGTGCCACCCTTTTTTAAAGAATCACCCCCAAGCCCACAGCAGCGCAATGGATTGCTCCATATATTTGCGCTAAAAGCACAAGGTTTAAAGCCTGATGTTTCACATTCCATTCCAAATTTTGATATCTACTAGCTACAGGTGATGTTTAGTCTCAAAACTTGATTTATAAAGGGGGATAAAGGTAACTTCAGAAGTTTGTTATATCATATCATTACATATGATTGAGAGCAGAACCCAGAACAATGTAACAACAGATCATTTTTTCTCATCCTGATGTGGTGTGGACATTGACGCAAATAAGACACAGGCTCCCAGTGTGCTGCATCCCAAACTTTCTGCTTGGAGAGTTTATTTGAGTTTAGGGAACATATGAACTCCTTTAGTCAATGGCAGAGACAATGGGATGCAGAGGGAAAAGCCAGGCATCATTTCACCCTTTCCTTAATGGTTTTCTCAATCCATGGTATATAGGTGTAAACATTGGTGTAGATGCCAACGTCCCCTCCCATGAAGTGTCCAACTTCAATTCCCTGGAGCTTGCCTTTACAAATGACAGTAGCCACAGCCACCTCCTGCCAGAGATGGGAGGGGAAGGAGGGAGGGAGGGAGAGAGAAAAAAAATTAAAAATTTAAAACAATGCTTGTTCTCATAGCTTTTCTTTGCAGCTATGATAATGAACGCTAGCAATATGTTATTAACCAGGGCTATATGATGCTCTTTAATAAATTAAGATCCTTTGTAGGAAGACTATGATGGAAAAACATGCAGGTATAATTGCAAATAACCTTACCAAATTCTCAAAAATTATTTGGCAATTAAAATGTATAATGGCTAAATAGTTAACTAGCCACATACAAGTAACTGAAATCTGAACATAGGCAAAAAGATTACCCCAAAAATTCGGCTGAAGATTTTCACGAATTTGACACATAAGGAGTTTCTGTGGCTGCTTCCTTGTTGAGTTTTCTGGCAGTCTTTGTCAGTCATCACTGGAGCCTCCAGATTCTGCCTTAAGTCGGGGTGCCTGCCTGAGGGAAAAAACATCTGGCTTAGCTCAAGACTTAATTGTCCCTTATCCTCACCTCCTGTACTTCAGTGGATATTATTTCAAGTACACATAAAGAGAGTAAAGGAGGAGGAAAAGGAAAAAAAAAAGTTATGCATTAATGAGAGTTAGTCCTGTTGATTAGCCTCATTTTACAAATGAAGTTGCAGGTGCACAGAGTAGCATTTTACCAATGTGAAATCGTCTTATGTGCTGTGGAATGAGACATTCTTTCTACTCTGTATCTACAAATGATCTGATTCAGGTTCTCTGTGATGTCCTTTACATGTGAAATGAACATGGGGAAGGAGCACCATTGCCTCCTCAGTGTAATCGTGTCTGTGGCAGGAAGGTCTTTGTGCACTCAGATGGCCCACAGAATCCAGCCGCCAAAGCCCTGCAGAGGCAGTGAAGATTCCATCGAAACCCTGACTATAGAGAAGTATTGGACTTCTAGACAGGTTCCTTTTTCTAGACTACTCCTATAGCTTCACGCATTGGCCCCGAGCCATCGTCTACTCCATCTTATCTCATAGCTCTGAGGATACATGTGTTCCTTGGGTGACACTGATGGCTTGATTGCTGTGGAAGGTGCACTTACCAATGTTGTTCTCACTCCAGTCCAAACCTGAAAGTGTACAGACAGTGCCTGGCCGGACATTGGTAGTGGCGATGGGAAGGACCTGGACTTTGTGGTTGAAGGTGGCAGGCTTAGCTAGTTTAATAAGCATGAGGTCATCCTGTGGGGCACTGTGGCTGTAGTTCCAGTAGCGGATAATCTGGATGGGTTGAATTGTCTGCTCTGTCCCGTCTCTGATTCTGCTTTTGAGATTTCCCAACATCACCCTCAGATTTCTGCGGAAAGAAAGGGTTGGAAGGAATCAGTTACTTGCTGTCACCACCACTACCATCATGACCATGTCATCACTTATCACCATCATTATTTTGGATATTAGATGCTACAGTCTGCAAGATACTGTGACAAGTGCTGTATCTGGGTTACTCTTTACTCACAATAAGTCTGTACATTAGATCTTATGTTCATTTTCATTACCATTTTACAAATGAAGTACTGGACACACATCGTAGTAATTTACATGTGGTCAGAGTAAACAGTGGAGTCCTTAACTACTGTTTTCCAATATAGTGCCTTGGAAAAGAAAATAATGGATGTAAAAGTTATTATCAAATTCTCTTCAGACCTCATTTATCCAAGTAGATAATTTCCACTTTAGTGGACACAGAGAATGAAACAACAGAGAGGTGGATCGCAAGCCCACCAACAATCTTCTTTTCCCCACTTTCTGAAGATTTGGAAGGTGATGTGTCCTTAATCAACGAGCTTTCTTCTCTGACTTCTAGTCAATAGGAAATGTAGGAAAGTGTTTGGAGGGAGAAGGGTGTTGTTGAAGTATTTGTCTTCCCAGATCCCCCCAGAAGCATTGTCAAGGACTTTTTCTGTCTTTTGGCAAAGGTTACTGTTCCAATCACGGATCGCTCTTATTCTATTGAAACATACTTTCCTCTTAGGCACAAGGATGGTCACTGTTTTTCCTTAACGCGTCTTCTGTGGGACATGAACCATCTCTTTACAATTAGTTACTTAAAAAAAAATCTCTTTTCAATTTACTCAATTTACAAAATTGAGTCACCTGCTGAGCCTCTAATTGATTAAATGTAATTATTTCCAGTAAAAAAATACTAATGGGGCAGCAGGGGAGGGATAGCATGAAGCAGAGTCTTAGGTGGTGACATGTATTCTCTAAGAATTTTAGCAGCATCCTGCTTGAGTGCTTCGCACTAGATGCTGGTAGAACTTCTCTCTGATTGGGAAAACCCAAAATACCTTCCGACTTTTCTAAACATATCCTAGGAGAAAGTTATCCCTACTTGAGACTCATCTGTGGTGATATTTTATTTGTGCTGAAACGTCGTGATATTTTATTTGTATGTCAATAAATAAAGTTTGCCTGGAGATCAGGGGAAATAGCAAGCCGTTTTAAGTAAACACAAAAGTCAGGCAGTGGTAGCACACACCCTTAATCCGATCACTTGGCAGGCAGGGTCTCTGTGTGTTCAAGGCCACACTAGGGAACAGAGCCAAGGCGTGGTGACACACGCCTTCAATCCCAGTACCAACCATAGAGACCTGGAGGTCTGTACAGACAGGCAGTGACAAGGAAGTGAGGTAGCTGGGCTAAGAGCCAATGAGAGGGCGGAACAGCAAGACAATAAAAGCCTGGGTAGACAGGAAGTTGTGGCATTTTGGAATTTGCAGAGCTGGTGAGGTAAGGTTGGTTGATGGCTCTCACTATTTTCCTGATCTCTAAGACTTTCACCCCCATATCTGGCTCTGAGATTTTTATTTAATAAGACCTTTAAAGATTCATGTTATACTCACTGATTTAGAATGAGCAGAACTCATTTGAGGAGGGGACACCCAATACTCACGGTAAATAGCAATGAGATGGCGCCAGTACCCAGCTGGGCTTGATGAGGACACCCACACAGGGGTTGAAGTTAGACTTGAGGTAGACTATATATGGAGCATGGTCCTCTTTCTGCACAGAGTGAGTGAATAAAGCTGTCCCTGAGAAAACAATAACATGTAAATGTCAGAGTAAATGAGACCTTCACACCTTCCCAGCAGAAAAGGGATGTGTATAATTTTAGAGGAGTAACCAATTGGCTGGAGATAATTTTTCTAAGAAAGATGTAAATGAAAGTGACACACTTTATATAAGACTTATAGTAATGACAATATTGGTAATATTTATTCTAATTAAGGGTATAATAAGAAAGATACATTTACTGCTTATAAATTGATTTTATTTTCTTGGACAGCAATTTAGAAATAAGCATTAAGAATTGTAACTTGTTCCTAACTTGTGGCCTGAGAATTCCAAAAATAAGAATCCATTTTAAAAACATAATCAGCTGTAGGCAAAGATGATTAATAAGAGTATTCATTTTTAGAAATACTAATAATAGTTGAACATTGGAAGGATAAATATCTAATAAATATTGTTTGATATTGAGATAAAGAAACACTTATGCAAGTAGAACACATCAAAAATAATCTCAGTGACATTTGAGCTAAAAATTAGATATACAGGGGCTGGAGAGATAGCTCAGAGGTTAAGAACACTGGTTGTTCTCCCAGAGGTCTTGAGTTCAATTCCCAGCAACCACATGGTGGCTCACAACCATCTGTAATGAGATTTGGTGCCCTGTTCTGGTGTGTAGGAATACATGCCAGAACACTGTATACATAATAAATAAATAAATCTTAAAAAAAGATGTTTCTGGACATCTCAATTAAAGGCAGTTTGTTTATAAAAAATGAGATATACATATGTTACATATGCATACGTTACAATTCAATTGTCTAAAAATAAAACTCCAAATAAGCAAATTAAATGCAGAAAATAACTTGAAGTAAGTTCAGTATGTGTTGGCTGAGAGGTGTGATTATAAATGATTTTTTTCTACCTTTAAAGTTTCCTAACACAAGCACATTATTTTTAATGAAATATTGTAAAAAAAATAGTAGTAGAGTATAAAAGAGAAGAAGGCTGAGTCTAATGCTCTTTCCTTGGCTCTTACTGGTACTTCTGCTGACCCTCCTATATTTGGGCCTATACCTCATCACACCTCTGTGTGACCATACTTAAAAACTTCAAAGCAGAGTTATTAATAAAGGCAATAGATTTTGAGCTCTATATTAGGTGCTAGGCTAATTAGCTTGCACAATCTCAACCCAGCTAGTATGTGACACGGCCCTGACATTTAGGGAGTGTGGGAAATTCTTCAATCCAGACTTCATGGAAGCAGAGACTGCAGAACTGGGACCATAGTCTCAATCCTCTTGTTCCCACCTTTACCATTCCCTGCATTCCAGAGTTAGGGGGAGACCAGAAGTCAAACTGGATTCTCTGTTCTTGTGACCAGATTAGGACTTTCCCAGAGGGTAATGCGGCCCATATTTCATAATAACTTGGGGGAACACTTATTGTTGATGATTCTCCAAGGCAGATATGTCCTGTACCCTATCCAAAAGCTTAACACTTAGGATAGACTGTCTGTGCTGAGCCTTTGGATAGGGTATAATTGAGGAGACCCAATTCTACTCATAGTATTTCTTGATGCTTCTGCGCACTAGTCACACATTCACTTTACCTCACCCCATTCTATATTAACCCACACTTTAATAGACGGAGTAGAAAGTCTTAAATACGTACCAGCTAGGATAGTCAAGTAAAAAATAAGTTTCATGATGGTCCGGCTCTTTCCTTGTGAGCTGTAAAGAGATCAGCAGAGGCTAGAATTCCCTGTTCACTTGTTTCTTCTGCGATGTCTACCAGTCCCGGCAGATATGGGTAGGTAGCGGCAGTTGGTGGGATCAGGAAAGAGCTCTAGGCATAAGGAGCCGATGGAGATGACTCCAGGTAAGAAGACTGGAGAAGCAGGAGACAATGCTTCTATTGAGACTTCAGGCAAGGTTTGGTAGACTTCTGAGTCCACATGCTCCTCTACGCTACTTCCCTAAAAGCTCCTTGGACTATAGTTAGTTCAACTGTCTGTAAAGAGGAGCTTCAGGCTCAAGACTTATCTTGCAGAGGTTCTGAGGACAGAGCTGTGAGGAACAGGATTCTCTACCTTGGCTAAGGGAGAGCATGTCCTTAATGGTTTACTCTGAACCCTCTAATAGTCACTTAATGCTTCCCTTAGCCCCTCCCATCTTTGTTACATCTGGTCACTGTTTCGTCACTCAGTCATCATCACCAGATGGGCCTTTATGTCCCGATCACCATCACTGAGCTAAGAAAATGAAGAAATGAAAGCTTACATGGAACAGTTAATTATCTTTGACCCTTGGAAAATGGTATACCTTCTAGATGACAGTGAATCTAAGATCTAATGTATTGATGACAATTCAGAAGACAGACTCTTCTAAGTGACTTTTACGCAGTGAAATAAGGAAATGATTTTTCAACTAACATCATGGCCATAGTCAACTTTAGATACCAGGGAGCACGAACTCACAAGAAAAAGAACATCAACACTATGGGGTCACATTCCTTGAACACTTTGTGAATCCTAGATACAGAGCCAAGTGTCCTCTCCCTCTCCAAGTGCCCGAGTTCCTGCCCCATTCCTTTCCCTCCTCTATTTTCTTCTTTTTTAAATTGAAAAATATTTCCATACACTGTATCTTGATCATGTTTTCCCCTCCCTTAATTCCTCCTGGATCCTACCCACACAACTTCATATTTTTCTCTCACTTTAAAAAACAAACAAAACCAAAGCCAAAAGCAAGAAATACCTGACACAAACCTCTCCCTCCCCACAAAAATGGAAACAAAAACATAGAAGCAAAAGACCAATAAGACTAAAAATGCCCCCCAAAGCAAAATGAGACGAAAAGTCTATTAAAAATATCATTGAATTCATTTTCTCTTGACCAACTACTCCTGGACATAGGACCTACCCAGAAGTGTGATTAACATACCCAGTAAGACTCCATTGGAGAAAACTAACTTTTCTTTTGCCAGTGCTTGTCAATTGCACCTAGCTCCTTGGTTAGAGACGGGAATCCACGACAGGGACCCTGGCCTTGTGTGTGCTGCTATTGTCTTTGTGAGTTCATATGTGCATCAGTCCTGTTGTGTCTGGGAGACACTGTTTCCTTGGAGTCGTCCATCCTCTCTGGCTCTTAGAATCCTTCCACTTCCTCTTCTGCAGGGCCCCCTGAGCCTTGAGGGGAGGGGCTTGATGAAATTTCAGTCCATTTAGGACTGAGTACTTCAAGGTCTCTCACTCTGTGCACATTGTTTCGTTGTGGGTCTCTGTGTTCGTTCTCATCGACTGCAAGAAGAAGCTTCTCTGATGGTGACTGAGTGAGGCACTGATCTGAGTCCCAACCTGGTGCAGCCAGGGGAGGTCCCTGGTAGGAAATGTTTCTTGGGATTGACAGTTGACACAAAGGAATGGAGATAGGCTAGAAGGGAGCCCTCGTCTGTTTTGGGGTCAGGGTCAATGTAACCCAGGCTGACTTTTCTGTCTCTGTGTCTCAAGTCCTAGGACACCAGGTGTGTGTGATCAGCCCCAACCTGACCAAGAGCTCAGTTCTTTGCCGATTACACCTTCTCCATTTTACTGCCTAGTTAAAGGTTCTAATGTGACCATCTTTGCCTATCATATGCCAAATAGATTGTATGTTTTTATCTAACTGAGGTAGATGTAACCTCTTATCTTCCTGAGAAGTTTTCCCCAATAACCCATCAGTGTTCTGTCTGCATGCCAAAATCTTCTGTTTAATTTTTCTCTAGTCTCATAGATTTCATCCATTATCACTTTAGAGTAAATCATGCTTTTTAATTTTAAGCTCTCTCATACTGATTGGACTGCCAATTCTTTAATCATTAGACATGCTTACATCTACCTGTCTTCTGGACTTGAGTATACTTGAGAATGGATCTCTTTCTGCATCTCTTCTCACTCTTTAATATAACAAATATCAATCAATCTGTAGTGTGTGTGTGTGTGTGTGTGTGTGTGTGTGTATGTGTGTGTGTGTGTGTGTATGTGTGTGTGTGTGTGTGTGTGTGTGTGTGTGTGTGTGTGTATGTATGCACCTATCTACTTTACTTTCAGGAAGTTTATCACTTGACTAACTTTTTGACTGTATTTCTAACCATCCAATGTTTCACGTTGGACTAGCTCTTTCCTTATGGGGTACAGAAGATTATCAGCAGTTGGAGCCCTCAGCCCATTTGCCTCTTCAGGGATGTCTACCAGGGTCAGCAGATAGTGTCACTCAGTGAGGTTGGAAAACAGCCCTGAATATAAGCAGTGGAGAGAGATTTCTCCAGATATACAGAAGCCGTGTGCCTCTCCCATGTTGTGTATAGTTGTTTCTTTAGCGTTTTAACTTATAACCCCACATTTTAACTTTGTCTATCAAGAGTTTCAAGTGTTTGGTGCTTGGTCTCCTTTCATCATTACACAAATCACCACAGCAGACTTCTTTTCTGGTACTTTTCCCCCATGGGTCGAGATTATTGTTCCATGACCTCCCTTTAGTTGAGGCACATTGACTAGAAACAGATCCCTAGTTAAAGCCAAAAGGTTTTGGTGTAGTAAGTGCAAGACACAGCAATGGGAACAGAACAGTACTCTTTATGGTCAAGTGAGTGGTTCTTCCCTGTTTTTTGGTTCACCTCTTTCCTCCAACCTTTTGCATCAATTATCTCTGATCATGACATCAGGAGGAAAGGGGTCTCTCTCATGGGCCTGTAGCTTTAGCTAGCATTTACTTCTAAGACTCCATGCCTATATGATACATATTATGATTCTATTTGCCTTCAATTTATTCTGTGTTTAGACCTTAGACTTTTAGAAGGTTTCTTCAGAAAGCTGTCTATAGATCTGTTGGTTCTCAGTAAACAATTCTTATTTTATCCTATATATTAACAAATATTTCCTTATTATTTGCATATTCCCAAATCATACTGTTTATTCTGGTCTTCCCCTTTCATTAGAGATAGGTAAAAGTCTATTATTTAGTATACTGTGGTTTAATTCATAGCCTATAATTGAGAAACTAACTTGCAGAATCAATGAAACTTGTATTTTAGATTTGTCTAATGAAAGTTTAAATCATTAAAGATGATCCTTGTAGTAGACCATTGCAGTTCAGATCCTTAATGTCCCCTAAAGGTTCATGTGTTAGAGATGTGATCCCCATCTTGAGAAGTGTATTAGTTAACTTTTATATTGTTGCAATAAATCACCATGATCAAGGCAACTTATAAAAGGAAAATGTTATTTGGGGCTTACAGCTCCAGAGGGATGGGAGTCCATTACCATCATGGCATAGAGCACAGCAGCAGGCAAGAGGATTGCCACAAGTTGTAAGGGACCAATGAATCTAACAATAATTCTCTTAAGTTCAATTCCCCCTAGTTTTACACACTCTTCCCTACAATGCCAATGAGGTTAGGAAAGCTGACAACTGCGTAGTACAATTGGTAGTAGACAATTGGGTCTACTTCACTAGTAGTATCACAAAGCTTGAACCAAGACTCCTGAGGCTCTACCTCTCAGAACTTATCTTCAGAAAACAGGATCTGCAAGAACACCACTAAGGAAAAGGATACCAAAAAAAAGGCAGGGGCGGCAGGGGGGACACTTCATAATCACTCTTCAACAAGAATTTGTTTAGGAAAATATAAGACACAGATTCCTTAATAATCTTTATATTATGTTAGCTATGAGGCAGAGTTGTTTCTATGTGATGTATGCTAATGGGAGAATTGTCTGTCCTAAAGAAAATTTTCAAAAGCCCAAAGTCACAAAGCTTATTACTTCAGAAAAGGAGATCAAGATAGAAGTTAGTGTGCTTGATATATAAGAAGGGATGGATTAAGAGGTGTGTGATGGCAGTGAGGGGTATGATTGAGAGATGTGTGATGGGATGAAGGATATGATTGAGAGGCGAGTGAAGGCAATGACAGGTATGATTAGGAGGAGTTAGATGGCTCATCTTGGTTGTCTACTTGACACATCTGGGACTACAATTAAAGAGTCACCTCCATCAGACTGGCCTGTGGACATTTTATTAATTGTTAATTGATGTAGGATGCTCCAGTTCACTGCCAGAGATGGGGGGTATGGGATGGAATGCTCTCCCTAGGCAGGTGGGCCTAGGCTGCATTTAAAAAGTAGCTAAGCAAGCCAGAAGGCAGCTCCTCAATGATCTCTTCTTCAGTTCCTGTCCCCAGGTTCCTGCTCTGAGCTCCTGTCTTGGCTTCTTTTGGTGATGGATTATCAGCTGGAAATGAAAGCAAACTCTTTCTTTCCCAAGATGCTCATGGTGATGGTGTTTATCACAGCAACAGAAACTTAACTAGAGCAAGTTGGAAAGAACTATAGACAAATCTCTCAAGAGAAAAATCCAAGTGATTTGTGCCCTGATATATTAATAAAAACCAACATATGTGTTCTTTAGAAGGAGATAATTGCTCTTGTTCCTAACAAAGTTTTCAGAGTGAGGAAATAATTGGTCCCTTAGGAGTCAGTGCAGGAAACTTTTCAGTGCTTGAAAATATTTTTCTAATTTAATGATTCCTCCAATTTTGCTGAAAATGATCGGATTCATTGTTTTTCATGAGTGAATGGTATTACCATGTTTTTATGATCCATCCACCAGTGCTAGTTTGATCTATAACTTAGCTATAGACATGAGCATGAAGGCATCTTTGTGATGTTCT